AGCAATCTCTAGCTAAAAAAAAAAAAAAAAAAAAAAAAAAAACGTGACGCGACTTCCGCAAGGTTTGAGAGGGTAACGCAAAAAATTCAGCAATTCGCTCGCGTGCGATCGCCTTTATTATTCCTCGCCCAAGTTGCGTTCAAGCGTGACCGCACAACTGAGCATCATTCAACTGAGCGCATTCCATTTGAGCGCCCTGAGGAGCAGAGATCCGCGAAATTGAAAGCCAGAGACATCTAATGCCTCCAAAACTGAACAACAGTGTAGAAACAGTTGGGCCCCGACATACGGACGCCCCAACCCGTGGAAAACTTGATTTTTGAACGATTGAAACTGGGAAAATCTGCCAAATCATTTGGACAATTTGCAAAGAGCGATGCCAAAATTTCCAGAAGAAATATCGTTCATAAAAAAATTGGTATCGCTTGAACAAATTTATCAACTGCCATTGGCTTCTTTCAAAGACAAAATTTAATAAATTTACTCGCATTTATTTTCCGAAACGGAGTAATTTTGTGCATCTCTTTTCAGGGGTTTTGTTTTCGGTCAACTGGGCACACTTTGTCAATTTGTGCTTTTTTATAAAAAAGATTTTGGACTCTCAGCTGTGTGAATTGCAATATTTCAAACTGTATCGTAAATTACTTCCAGCTTTCCTACTAATTTCTTTAATGCCGGAAAAACTGTCCTTATAGGTGGAAGGAGTGTTTTTTCTCCCAAGAAATGTGTTCACAAATCATTAAGAAAAAATCTAGTTAGATCACGGATTTCTGGATTGAAGAGCGAGCGACAGCAAATGCATGCGGCTAATTTTCCTATGTTAAATTTCGGACTAGAGATGAAAACGATTTTCTACCATTGGAAACGATCAGTTTATCGATTTGACCATCAGTTGGATGACTCTAATTTGTGGTTGCATGGCGCTCATTTGACCCTCCCCTATATTCAAACCGCCCGGGGGGATTTATTCTGTTTCGGTTGGTCCATGGTTGAATCATCTATGGATCCCGCACAAAGGCATGAAATTATCTCCTGATGAGCAGCTTTCAACCGAAATGCGCCAGAGATTTCAAAACGCACGACCTGCAATTTATTTGGCGTTTTCGTGGCGAGCACGCGTTAAGGCTGTTCAGGTGAGCAAATGCGGGCGTAATCCGGAATAATCCGGTTTTCGTGAAGCTTTTATGCTTT